ACGGAGGAAAACCCCGGGATGAAATACAAAAACGAATCTCTTCAGAAACGGAGGGGACTTGTTTTCCCACTCCCAAATCTCCTGTCAGCCCTGCTGAGAGCCCATCCCCGCGCTGCACAAGCTCCCGTCTCTGGTCCCAGCCGCACTCCGCGCTGCAGCGGGTGCGACGGGCCGGCACTTCCCCACCCCGAGCAGCTTAAACCGAGCCGGGAGCGAAAAGTTGCGGGGAGCGGCAGAAGACCCGAGCTCTTCCCTCTGCCCGACGGGGCAGAGGCGGCCGCTCCGCCGCTGGCGCCCCGCGGGGAAGAGCCCGGCTGCGGCACCGGGCTGGGGGCTGGGGGTGTCGCATCCACCCCCGGAGGAGCTCAGTAAAAAGGCCTGTTCCCTCCTCCCGGGCCTAAGCAGGGAGGGAGAAAAGCACACGCCAGAAAGTCACCCATTGAAGCGTTTAAATGCTTCACCGCTCAAACCGCCTTTGACACGCCTTGGCTGGGCTCCCGAAGGCATCCCGAGCCATTCGATAGCGCTTCAGAAGAGCCTTTCTGTCTGCCCCGCTCTGGGCAGCCTGGACATGGCCAGCGGCGGCAGCGGCAGCGCACCCGCGGCACAGGGGCAGCGCAGCCCGCGGAGCCGCGCTCCCATCCGCTCCCGGGGACTCCTCAGAGACAGTCCGCCTGGAGTTAACACGGGGAGGCGGCAGGGCAGCATGTGGCTTTCCGAGGCCGGAGCCCAGCTCCGGGAGGGCAGCGGCCGTGCGCCCCAGCCCCGACCCCGGCGTACACACAGCCCCGAGCAAAGCCCCTTCCGCGCTGCAGTGACTTGGCCAGGGGCGGAAAACTCGACCTCTTGTCCCCCTGGGTGCGCCCGCAGCTCCCCGCTGCTCCAGCCTGGCTTGCCCGAGGAGAGGATGCTCCCAAGCGGGGCCGGCAGGATCCCTGCCTCACCCACGCACAAGCCGATCCCTCGCCACTTTCCCCCCATTTTTCTCTCCCGGGCAGGCACATGCGGGTGACCAGACACAAGGTCGGCTCCCGCCGCGTCCCTGCATCGGTGCCCGCGGGTGACAGTGTCAGAGGTGGGGCCAGGGCAGTGGGGCACACAGAGATAGCCAAGCCGGGAGGTGCCCCTCGCGGGGACGGGGCTGTGGGCGCAAAGCTGCCGGGGTGCTTCCATGTGCCCTGCACGGAGGGATTTCTGCGTGTCTCCGTGGGTGCTGCAGCGGCTCGGACCCCTGCGAGCGAGTGCCACGCGTGTGCGTGCCGGCCTCCGCGTGGGCTCGCCCATGCCTCTGTGGGCGCCTGCCCCTCCGCACTGTCGGAGCAGACACGCTGGGCCGCTCCTGCGTATCTTTTTCTCCTCCTTTGTCTCCCTTTCTTTGGCTTTGACTCTTTCAGGTGCCCCGGCGGTGCCCTCGCGTGCTGCTGGTTGCTGGGAGGTGGCGTGGCTGCCACTGCGCTGCTGTTGTGCGAGGGGAGGGAGGGAAGGGGGCTTGAATGCTGGCTGTTGTGCTCGGCTGGGGTGGGGGGCCGCCGAGGAGGAGGAGGCCGATGATGATGATGATGGAGGGGAGGGGGTGACGATGGAGCTCACCGCGGGCGCGCAGCTCCCTGGGGAGGCGCCTGAAAGGCCGCTGCGCTCACCAGCTGACAACGCGTGCTCCGCTCCAGACACGGCGCACCGCGGCCGGGAGCGAGGCCAGACCCCCCCTCCGCCCTCCAGCCCCCCTGTCCCCCCCATTGTCCGCCCCAAAGCATTGTCCGCCCCGCTCTAATTAAGAAACACTGGCCCCACGGCCAACTCCCCTTCTAACCCCCCACACCCCCCCGCCGTGGTCCCTGCGCTTTTCTGGTCTCCCCTCGCTGGGTTTAACCCTTTCTCCCCCTTCCTTTCCTCCTCGCTCTCCGAGGCCAGAGGTTGAGCAAACAGCAGCCGGAGAGCTGCAGGGCAGAGATGCGCCTCGGCCGCCGCGCCTCGCCCCGCTCCGTGCCCCCGGAATGCCCGGGACGGCGGCGCAGAGCCCCGCACCGGAGCTCGCGGCCGCGCTCCATCCGGCTTTGATCCGGGCTCAAAAGCCAGCGGAGCCGCCGTGCGCCTCGCACAAAGGCGACCGCCTCCCCAAGCCCCCCCAGCCCCCGCGCTCCTTTCGCACACCCCGGAGGACAGTCAGCGTTCAGCCAAAATTTAACGCTCGGATAGTGCGCTTCTGACTCGCCCTTTTCAAATAAAAGCCCGTTTAGGATGATAAAACCCCACGAAGCAAACCGGGCGAGACTGCTTCCAGGGGCTGGTGCGCGTCCCCGCTCTTGTTAAAAAACTTTGCGGTAGTCTATACAAAACAAACACTGTCGCAGGCTCAATAAAGCGATTTATCCATCTTCATTACTTAAAGAAATGTTGTCTCTTTGTTTGTTTGGGAGATATTAAGCATGCTTAGCTTGCAACACATAGTTGATTCCTTTGCTAGTATCTTGGATACTTGGATCTGACTTTGGAAGGTAGGAGCTAATTGCTAATAATGGAGAGAAAGGAACCAGCCAGCATAGCGGGAGTGGCCTGGCATATGGGGAATGAGCGGTCTGAAATACTCAATATTCAAGTTTCCAAAATATTAATGAGATTATAGCAACCTGCAGCTATACGTTACAGCTTGTTAACGGAGTGCAAGAGAGGGGGGCTGCCAAGCGGTTGTTATGCAAACTCTATAGCTGAACCTTAAAATGGGAATGCGGCCGGGTATCTCTTTCAAAGAAGAGTTTAAAAAAAAAAAAAAAAAAAAAAAGAAGAAGAAAAAACCCTCAGAGTGCTGCTGCGCTGCGGCTGCGAGCACCAGCCGCGCCATGCGGTGCGCTCGTCCGTCGGGGGAAGGGACCCGACCGAGGGAGCGGGGAGGATTTTGATGCGCTCTTTTCCACCACGCCGAGTGCCCGCAGCCGCGGAGGCAGAGCCCGGGACGGCGGGGCGGAGAGAGGCCGCACGCAGCCCTTCCACCCACGGCCGGCACCGCCGGGACCCTCCGCGGGTGATGCCCCTCGGTCACGCCGCTTCCCCCGCGCCGAGTACATCCCCAAATTAAACCAAATAAACAAAACAACGCCCCCAAAGTTGGTGGTTTTTTTGCTGCGCCGCACCACTCCCGTGATGGGACCCCAAGGTGCGAGTTCCTTGCACAGAAATCAGTGCCGGTAACCAAAGCTGACCTACCCCGACAAAGCAGGCATTTTATGAGGAAGGCAAATGACCCTCCCGATAAACTTTCCGCCCTGCGGGACCGTAGCCCGCTTCGGCAGGTACGGGCGGCGGCCGTGTGCTGGCGGCGAGCAGGGCAGGGGTTACCGGGGGGACAGGTGCCCTGTTTCTGCAGGGAAAGCGACACCCGCGGGGCCGCTCCCCTGGCCGCGCCCGGTTAAGTGATCGCCCCTCCGACACCCCCTGCCCGGGTCACCTGCTGACCCCAGCGGGACCCCGGCACCGACACGGCTCCGGTGTCACGGGCAGGCTGGGCTGAGCATCAGCCAATCCCCCACTCCCCTCCGAGCCCAGGGGCCACATCCTGATCCCCGGTGACCCGCCGCGCTGCTCGCGTGTCCCCGAAACCCCGCCAGCTTCTCCGCCCGCTCCCAGCCCTTTGCGCTCGGCTTATACCGAGGAGACTCCGTGGGAAGATCCGCTCGCGTCCCCGAGGAGTGGGGAAGAAGGGAACGATGTGACTTGAGCGGCGGTGCGGGGACAGGCGCTACAGAACAGCGACAAGCTCCTCACCCTGCACTTGTTGCAATTCCCCGGTTCCGCTGGGAACGGTGGGACGGGAATGGGACAGGGTCCCGGCGGCGCAGGGAGCGGAGGTAGCGCTGCCCCACGCGGGGCACAGCCCGCCCCGGACACCGGCCCCGGGGTCCGCCCGTCCCTCTGCAGGCAGCCGGAGCGCCCCATCACCCTGTACCTCTCACCCCCGCCGCGGAGTTTGACACCACCCCGGCACAGCCAGGGCGAAGGGAGAAGTTGAACCCGATCACGATTCGAGGCTGATTTTGTTTTGGTGGTTTTGGTGCTTTTTTTTTTTTTTTTCTCCACGTTTATTTGATCTCAAAAAATTTTCAAAATTAAAATACATAAAACAATGGCAGCTGGCGTTGCTAAAATCAAAATAAACGATTTTCGTCGTAGAAAAGAACTTTTTTTTTAAAAAAGAGAAAAGCAGAAATAATTGCAAACACTGCATAATAAATACGTTTCCTATTACCACAAAAGGAAAATAAAACTGACATAAAAGTTTGACACGACAAAACCGTTTTCGTTTTTAAGAGAGCGTTAGGATTAAGTGGCTTAATTAAACATTGGTCTCCAATTGGCAGTTAGTAGCTTTCCTCTTGAAACTGCATCTCCAGCCGCTGATAAAGTGCTTGCGCCAAGTTTCCCCCCAAAAGACGCCGACATGGTGCTCTAAGGAAAATCCAAATTTTCTCCGCTATTTACAGGTTAGACATCCCTGTGGACTTGTGTGTGTGTCTATGTGTGTGTGTGTGTTTCCACAGCAATGCCCCACGGCAGGATCGGTGTTCTGAAGACGGGGGTGCCAGGGCGGGTTCACGGCTGGGTGGGGATGGATGGCGCCGGCGGCGCCCCCGGCAGCGGGGCCAGGCTTCTCCCCGCGCATCGCCCGCTCGCCGACGGGGCGAGCCAGGCTCCGCGCTGCGAGCTGGCGTGTTGGCAGGAGGGAACGGCAACGACTTCTAGGCGAAAGAAACTTTCGAAGTGTAAACTAAAGGTTAAAACAAACCATCCGACCCTGACAGACAGGGCGGGTACAGTCACTCGCTAACAGCCATCCCCCCTGGACAAACCAGGGGCTGCCGGGGGTGGGAGACGAGGGGGCGGATTTCAAAGCGACCGTGGGGAGCCGATGCCGTCCGTGGCGGCACCGCGTCCGGCTGCTCAGCCCACGGCGGAGTCTGTGCTTCGAGGGGCGGCCTTGCGGGGGTGCCGGGGACGACGCCCCTGACTTAGCTGGCCTCATCCGAATCGCTGTAGTGGGAGCGGGGCGAGAACTCCCCGTCGCTCCTGTGGGACCGGGGCGACGTCTTGCTCCTCTCCTGCGGCGGCTGCCCGGGCTGCGGCAGGAGGAGGGCGGGGGAAGGGGCTCTCTGTCCCATCAGGGCGCCCTCCGCGAAGGAGAAGTGCAGCGGGTCGAGCGGCACCGAGTAGCCCCCCGCGGCCGGCGGCGGGGGGAAGCGAGTCCGGCCGTGCCCGGGGGGCGACGCTCTGGGCGGCCCCGGCGGCGGCGCGGGCGGCCCCGGCGGAGCTCCGGCCCCGGCGGCGGCGCAGGGCGGCTCGAAGGGGGCCCCGCGGTGCTCGGCCTTGCCGGGGCCGTCGGAAGGGGCGGCGGGGCCGTGCAGCAGCTCGGCCAGGGCGCTGATGTAGATCTGCGCCATCTGCAGCGTCTCGTACTTGGAGAGCTTCTTGTCGTTGTTGAAGGAGGGGATGACATTGCGCAGCTGGTCGAAGGCGTGGTTCAGCCCGTGCATCCGCCGCCGCTCCCGCGCGTTGGCCGCCAGCCGCCGCTGCTTCTGCACGCCGCTCACCTGCGCCCGGCGGGGGTGCCGGGGCGCGCCCCGACGGCGCGTCCGCCCCGCCGACAGAGCGAGCCCTCGGCCGGCCGCGCCGGGCTCTCCCCGCCGCCGCATTGCTCTGGGGAAACATCCTTTTGCTTACAGCCAAACCTCGGAGGCTCCGGTAAATGCCCCCCTTGGCTTCCCCACGCCTGGCGGGAGTAGCCGTCGGTCCGCCCGGCTCTCGCTGCGGCCGTAGGTGCCGGTGCGGAGCGCTGCCCGCCCGGGACGGTGCAGGGAGCGCGGCGCTGCCGTGCGGGGGTTCGGCCGCGAAGCCGCGGAGGGAATGGCCTCGGTTTTAGAGCGGTAATCCCGGGACATGCGGGAAGCCCACGCGGGACCCGGTAGGTGAGAAGCGGTGGCGTTCTTAGCCGGGACAGCACATTGCCCCCGGAGCTGCCCGTTTTCGGCAGGGTCCCGATCCCCCGCGAGCGAGTCCTTTTGTTGGGCCAACAATAGCTGGCCAAAGGTGGTGGAGAGGGAAATAGCTCCGTGCACGCATCTTAACTTCCCTTCCGCGCTGCCTCCCCTCCCGCCACCGCCGCCTGCCTGGAGAGGAGAAGTGGAGGTTTGCCCGTGTGAATAGGCGTGTGGAGAACAAAGTGATGGGCACAGTATGAGGTAGATATGTTTTTTCAAAAGTGAATAACTCGCAAGCCAAGGAGGGAGCGAGGGAGCCCAGCAGCAGCAGTGACATGGAATGAGCAGCCTCGCTGGTTTAGGAAGCTGGCTGGGCACACTTGGCGCATGGCAGGCGCCTGGGGCCCACCTTCCACAAACAACTGGATGGTACTGAGAAAGCGCAAAGCTGATAGTTTGTTTTCTTTAAAAACAAACAGAAGCAAACCTTCTCTATTCTTTTTTTCCCCCCCTAGCTATTATGCTTCAAAGGCAAAAGCTGTTGTATCACCCGAAAACAAGTTGTCAGTTTCTGACCAAAATGGAAGTTTTTACTCGGTGAGAAGGATGGTAAGGTGCAGAAGTCAATATGTTGTTTCTGTATAGTATCCATAAAGTTGCCAGACCATCTCTCTGTATCTAGTAAAAACTTTCATACTCTCCCATTGTCTAACCTCCCCCCTTCAGTAAATGCTTCTATCAGTAACGGGGGAAAGCCCTCAGTGCTGCATGGTGCCCTCTCTGTATCTAGTAAAAACTTTCATACTCTCCCATTGTCTAACCTCCCCCCTTCAGTAAATGCTTCTATCGGTAACAGGGAAGAAAGCCCTCAGTGCTGCATGGTGCTGCTTGCTGGCTAAATTCCCGGCCCCCCGGCTTCTCTTTCAGTCGGCAGGCACCACGTGCTCCCTTCCCGGGTGCCCGTGGCACAGGTGTGCTTTGCCAGCAGCCCTGCTGTACTCTCCTCCCCAAGGTTAATCCGTGTGTTCCCTGTTTGGGCACAGGGTGCCGTGGCTGTGAGCTGTTCCATGCAAGAACTGCGAACCAAACCTTGGAAATGAGTGGGAGCTTTGCTGAGCAGTAGCCACTGACAGCCTAGCGAGCGCCCAGCATGGGGGGAGCCAGGCTGGTGCTGTGTTGAAGTCTTCAACATCTCCCTCCAGGCTGTGTGGCTGTCCTTGACACCAAGCCCTCCATCCCACAAACCATCCACTGGCCTCTAGGCACAGAGGGAAGCAGCATCCCATTAGCCTCTCATGTGGATGCAAGGTGGCTGATGCCCCTGGACCCCAGGGATGCCATCAGGTGCTGGGGACTTCCCTTAGCAGTACCTCAGTGACCGTATGGAGCACTGGGGACATCAGCCGAACACCTCAGCGTGCTCCTGGGATGGGAAAAGTTCCTGGCTGGGAAACAGAAACAGCTGCTTATTTTTCAAGTGCGTGTTTTGTGAGCGCATGCACGCTTTGAAACTGGAGGCATCTGAGATTCACTCCACAGTTTGCCTTTGAAAGGACACACACAAAAAGCCATTTTCCCCACTAACACCACTGCTCAGAGGGGGAAAAAATGTTTCATTGAAATCCAGTGCTCTCTGTATGCCTGTATCTTCTGTGTGTGCACACTCTCAGAGTCAAAGTCAAAGGCAAAGGGTGGTTTATGTCAGCACTGGGTTTAGCTCTGCTCTCCCAGAATAAGATAAATGTAAGTGATGAAGAACTCCTGGGGCTGGCTGAACTCATTTTGTATTCAACACTGCCCGGCCCTTTTCACTTTCCTTTCTCCCTCTCTTTGTATGTTCAAGCCTACTTGAGTTTCTTTTTTTCTTTTGTAGAAGTTGGTTCTTTTGAAGCGGTTCGAGGCACGCCCTGCTGCAAAGGGGACTTCACGGGAATCGGAAACACAGGCACACCGGTCTGAAACACTTACTGTACAATAGCAGGAATGTAGGAAGCCTTGAAAATGAATCTGCTCTAAGCAAGTGTCAAAGCTTTCAGAGGAAAACAAACTGAACTTATCCCCGTATCTTTATGCATATTTTCCCCCCAGTCCTCCTTTCCTCTCCCCCCCACCCCCAGCCTGGTTAAGAGCCCAGGCAGCAACTTGGGGTCAGGAACGGACTAATGTTACAGAAAAGTGAGTTACAAAAGGGGGGACAGCAGACTTGCTTTAAAAAGCCTCCTCTATCATTACAGCCAGAGACATTTTGAAGGCACACAAAGCACATGGGTCACTTCTCAGTTTGTACTCAACAGTCTAATTGCTCATGCAATGCCATTTCAAAATCAGCCAGCTTCTCTGCAGGCATCACCACTGGTCAGAAAGTATTTTATTCCTTCCCTTTCCCCACTTTCCCATGTGTTCTCCCATTTCCTCCTTTCCTTTTGACCAGTACGTGGGGGAACACACAGCCCTCTTCATACCTCCCCTGGTCTTCAGGCAGTAAAACCCACAAGTGGAGAGAGACCAAGGTGTGAGTCTTGCTCACTGAGATCAGGTAGTCCTCGCTGAATCTCAGCTACAACCAGCCCGGGCCTCCTGCAGGAGGAGGGAAGGGGGATTTCTGCCCTCCCAATGGCTCCCTCCCTGCTCTCTGGGACAGCAAACCCCATCTAGGAGCTACTACAAACACAAATAGACAATGTACAGCTGCATTATTTTCAGTCTCAATGGACTGCATCATCAGAATACTCACCCAAATAAAGCATTCATACTTACTTTATTCAGAGCAAGATTGCTTAAAGCAGAAAAGGGTCCAGCAGCAAATGTTTCTTGGGCTCCTCCTATGACCAGTGTCTAATGCTTTACTGTCAAATGTGTTTTAAATGCACATTAGAAGTGATGACTGCAAGGAACGCAAGAGCCCAGGTACTGGGGAAATTACATTTCTGAACCCTGCCCCTTTGCACTGAGGACAACCAGAACTGTGCTGGTCCTGGTTGTCCTCAGTGGAAAGGGGCAGTGTTCAGAAATGCAGAGCAATTCTCCTGGGCAGATCATTACACTTACCCAATGCCATGTGCTTCAGCTCTTGGAGGGTTTGTAAAACTAATTCCCATTTCTTGGTGACACTTACCTCCATAAATATCTTTGCTCTGGGGCTAACCCTGTGGACACTTGCAGTTGTGTACAGTTAATTTTAGTGCAAGTACCTCCACTGCCTCCAAGAGAAATGCAAAGCATTGGTACAACAATACTTGCCTACCTCCTGGGGCCATTGTCAGGCATAATGAATTCAGCCTGGTGATACAGTTGGAAATCTTATCTATGGAATTTGTACCTACATTTTTCCTATTTAAATGTATACAGCTGTTACTGAGATATTAATTTATGCCTATATTTTAAAAATAAAACCCTTCATATTCAAGGAAGCATCACTCATAATAATTTTCCTTTGATATTGTTTTAAACCCTTTTTTAATTTGTACTCAGCTTGGCAAGGAGATTCCACTAAAATTGATAAATGCTTTCAGTCCCACCAAACTCAGCTGTGGGACACTTTGCACAACGATGCTATTCCAGGTGTACCTTGTTCACCCTTTTTTAATTTGTACTCAGCTTGGCAAGGAGATTCCACTAAAATTGATAAATGCCTTCAGTCCCACCAAACTCACTTCTCAGCTGTGGGACACTTTGAACAACGATGCTATTCCAGGTGTAGCTTGTTCACCCTCTGCAGCAGGAACAATTATGTAGGGCCTGTGCATGCTCACAGGCACCACCCACAGGTCCCTTGTTTTAGTTACTCTTGAAATGAGCAATAAGAGAACACTAAGGCATCCCTGCCTTACGAACAAGTGCTTTCTAACATGCTTTCATTAGGCTGCTAGTTGATATGTTTTACTGGTATAAATCATTTAAGCAACAAAATTACCATTGTGATCAACAGTTTTACAGTAAATGATCAATAGTTCATGTAGTTTAAGATCAGAGAATTAACATCAATCCATCCACAGAAACAATGTATTTCTTCAAATCAAATCTGGTCACTGCCTCTCACTCTCAAGGTCTCTTGCACAAGAGCCCAGAGAATGTAAATACTCCAGATTTGCTGGCACTAGATTTATTTCTTTTCTTAACTGATCACCTCATCATTCCCCTTTTCACTGTCACTTTAGCCACTGCACAAAGTACAGTTATAAAGGTTTGCTCTGGGAAAAGAATCTAGTCATCGCTGGAGGTATAAATGAAAAATTCAGCTTGCAGGCTCTCTGCGGCATAGTAGTGACATATAAGTGAACAAGAGAGAAAAAACAACAGTTGACATGTAAGCAAGAGGGGAAAAAAAAAGACATTTGAGAGAGTCTGCCTTGCCTCTTAACAGCAGCATTACTTGAGCAGTAACCTGGGAGCATAGGGGGCTGCTTCAATTGTACTGGGCCTTCTATCTGCTGTTCTCACATCCATCACCCACAAAGCTCTTGGCAATCAGGCAGCCCAGTCCCTGAAGGAGGTTTCTAAGCTGTGGAAATGCCAGCCTGGAATCTGAACCTTTGCGGGTCTCCTGAGGAGGGAAGGTTCCTAAAATGTGAAGAGTAAATATTTACAGTCACAGAGGCCAAAACAATGTGGAGAACAGTAGTCCTTCTAAGGGGAGAAAATCAAGTGAATGGACGCAGTCTGGTGCTGATCAACATCTCACATCAATCCTTAAGAGCTGAGTATTTCCCCAAGAA